ACTTACACGAAGCAGTCAGAGTCACTGAACAATATAAACTTCACGTGAGGCAGTTGTGAAACTTTCCCGCGCCAGAACATGCACACTTTGGGGAAAATTACTACTTTCCAGATTGCAAGAAAATATAATAAATATCAAGGCGGTGAAGTTGAGAGGGCAGTTGAGAAGTAAAAAAGGGTGACTGTCAAGCATCGGCTGAACATCCAGTTCTAACCCTGCATCGGCGGGGTAAGCAAATACATAATGAATCGCTTGAGATTTGAGCAAATATTGGGTGTAATTAAGACGAGACTGGATGCCTACTGAATGAGGCCACTTTGTTTAATATAAATGGACATAGAAATTGAAAAGCAAGTATTCCAAGATATGCAGTTTGAAGAAATACGTTCTTTGCGAAAATTGAGTAACTTTATTGCGTAAAGTTTTGACGCTGGATCCCCATTTTGTCGTTAGACTTGAGAAGACGTGCAATGAACAATTACAATTTCACAATTCCTGGAAAAATTATATAATCGTCTGGTGCGAGTGCTAATTGGCAGATACAATTTGCGCCAGTCCATGGTGGAAATATTAGTAGTCTTAATAGCGTAATTGCTAATAAGCCACCGTAATTTGCGTCCGTCCGGGGTGCAAAATTACAAGTCACCCCTCATGAGGAATAATTCGTAGTTGTGCTAAGCGTTAGTCCGGGGTGATCGGCTGTCGCCTTTTCCATCTTTCTTCTAAATGTTAATACATTCCATCCAGCTCGATATATTGGTTCATGCATGAACCATCGGAGTGTATGGTTTCCATAAATTTCGGCCTTTTTGAACAGAAAAACTCCGACAATACGCGTTCTGTCCCATGCATCGGTGTGTCCTGTATCAAGGCTATGTATCTCTACTTCGGATAAATAGTCATGTCTCTTCACTACCAGCTGGTGTTCGTGGATGCGTGTGGAGACGGACCTTCCTGTTTGGCCAAAGTATACGGTATCACAAAATTCGCATGGAATCTTTTAGATGATTTCTTTCTTATCGAGATAGCTAACGCCATCCTTAGGGTGTAAAAGTTAGCCGCATACAGTAGCCGTCGGTTTGTGCGTAACTTTTATTTGGTATGGAGGTATTTGGAAGGACATAGGCATGTTCTAATAAACACCGCCCCCCTACAAAGAAATGTCTGATCGTGCATTCCTATGACTGATGTTTAGAGGGCTGTGATTGTACATGTCAAATACTGAAGTACGACCTTTTGCTGACATAAAATAATAGGTCCCCAAATTGCATGACTTCATTAACGTTGACAATTCTCGTTGTCTTTGCGTTTTTCTAACATCCAAGTATGTCTGATTCAACATTAATGGAAAGAAAATGTCACATGCCAGAACAAATTCTATGGGCGTAAGGCAAGAAGGGAGGAAGGGAAGTTAATAGTTGACACATGTCTGTTACGCAAGGGCCAAGCAACGTTCGGTATTCGGTCTCCGGTGCTGACAAAGAGAATGGTTTGAACTGTCCAGGTCTACTGCCAAGGATCGTAGTGCGTGGAAAAGCACCGTACGGGGCATCACCGTGGCCAGCTAGATCTGTCGTGATCGCACTCGCAAAAAGTACAAGTAAATACCACGGTCGAATTTTGTTCGGCAGTACACAATGTCTGCTACTTAAAATTTGCTATCCTTTACAATATAGAGAGCGAAGCAAATAATAGAAGGATTTGGACCCACCCGTTATTACCATATGGGAACATGTAGTCTTTTCTTTATTTGAGTTAACCTGGCAAGCTATTTTGTTCTTAAGTAGGAAATGTAATATTGGAACCATCACCCATTTAAATGAAATTTTTTTCCAAATCGCACATTCTACTTAGGAGTGACAATAAGGCGGAAAATGAAGACTCAGTTAAGGAAATCAATTGCACACTTTAACCTTCAGAAATACTCATTGATACGTCTGAGTTATCTGTAGCCTGCTACGGGTGCCAAAGTGCACTAATATCATGGCCACTATTCTGTAGAGACGTCGTATTCTAAGCCATGCTTTCTTGGCACGCCTCTGGGCCATGTCTACTATTTGTGTCCACTAAGCACGTGCGCACCAGAGCGTGTCAAAAGCAGGTTAAGGTCACGGACGTGTGTTCACGCTCTGTCTGTCCTAATTGGCCAACCAATTTCCAAGGCAAGTTCAAAAAGGACCGTTTTGTGCTGACTGCTCACGCTCAGACATTCCTGGAGCCGGTAACCTCACTGCCGGTGCTGACATCTGGACCCGGCAACTTTGCCGCCGGTCCGCTCATGGCTGGACAACACTCATCTGGGAGTAAATTAGCCAACAGTCATATTCTACTCCTTCTGCACATACTTAAGTTATTTTGAGCAGAAGAAGGTTTATCAAACACCGGAATCATTATTTTATTGATCTGAGCTTTCGGGCTCCTGCAGGAGTCCATCTTCAGAGACGGGAAAACAGCAACAAATGAAGTGGCTAGTTCTGGCATGTGCGCAAAACACCTAAAATTTTGAACGTGTAGAAAATCAACAATT